ATTTTTTATTTTTTGCGCTAGAAAATATAAAGACGGACAATTTTGAGGAAAAAAAAACAATATTTTGGACTTTTTGCTATAAAACATGTCCAGTAAAAAAAAATTTAAAAATCAAATTTAGTCATAAATTTCTGCAGCTGTGCTCTCTGTCAGTGACCGGCTGTGACCCGGCGACTGACATCCGCGGCCGTGATCGGTGGGACAGGTAGGGCAGTGGTGCGCCTCGCGCGCGTCCCCTACCTGTTTTGAAAACACACCTTTTAAAACGTGGTTTTGCCCAGCCGTGCCGCCCTGCCGCCGTATTTCTACAGTGGCTGGGCGGCATGTGGTTTAAACACTATAAACACAATATGGAAACACTGACAATACCCATAACAATTAATTTGCCTGGTTTACACTTACAAAAGTCAACACAGCATGGCAAATTATCAGCCCCTGATAATCTTGATTTTTTCTAACTGTCTGTAAATTTACAGACAGTTGGCAAACCTGCATGACAGTAAATGATACCATGTTTTTGCAAAGTATTAACTGTCTAGTTAGAGTGATGAACACTCTCAGTCTGCTTGTGCTTAGATTGTTGTTCAAGAGCAAATAAATCTTTGCACAGAGTGAGATAGTGAGATCTAAGAGCGTAAAATAAAATGTAAAGTCACCATTCACTTTAGTTTTAGATTTGATTTTGATATAGAAATAAGGCCCAGGTGTCTTCTGTGATCATCCTGAGTCTATGGTGGAAAAAAAAAATTGTGAATTACTACGTTATAGCAACTCACTGCATCCAATCATATGCTACCCTTCTCTGGAAATAGAAATTTTGAATTTGAAAATATATTACTGATTGATTGCATGGTTTCAATGCATCAAATGACCCCTATATTAATGTGATGACTCTTTACTCAATGGTTATGATTTATTCTATACTTGGTATTTTTATTTGAATGATACGCTTATTATTTTAATATATGCTTTGGCAGCACTTAGAGGGTTGTGCTACAGATAGATAATCACACTCAGAACCGAGTTACTGTGACCAGAACTGAACCAAGTAAAGTAAGATGACTTCAGCTCTGCTCTCCACCCGCAAGAGAGGTCACTCACAAGTGTTTTGTCCCCTAGTGGGCTTAATCATTGAGGCAGTATGTCGGAGAACCCATCTGTGGTTAAATAGCATTATGAGCCATACAGAAATGTTATCCAGAGACAAACTGTTTTTAGTTTACCTTTTTGCATTCTGGTGGAATTTGCAGCCTATTCAAAAAAATGGACTGTCAAATCACACTACAGGGGAACGCACAGGAATTGCATAGGAGCGTGGATCACATTCCTGTTTAATTCTGGTGTGAACTGACCCTTAAAATTCACTGGCTTCTTACCAGTACAGATCTTAAAAAGTTTACACGGATGTTTTTATTTACATCTGATTAATTATGAGAATCTTTATAAACATTGTGAAGTGTTTTTACAAATATTGAAGTTATTAAAATTTGTCAAAATGAGCAAATTACAGATTGCAATAAATTCCTGATCTGTCACAATATTCAGCAACTGTTTATTTGGATTTTGCAAAACGTTTGACACAGTTTCCCCACACACGACTAATGTGTAAAGTAAAGTCTACAGGCTTGGAAAAATCAGTTTGTAAATGGCTTAAAGACCGTATTCGGAGAGTAGTGGTTAATGATTCATACTCTGAATGGTCTAGGGTTGTTAGTGGTGTACCCCAAGGTTCAGTGTTGGGACCCTTACTTTTTAATATATTTATAAATGATTTAGGGTCTGGGATTACAAATCCCATTTCAGTCTTTGCAGATGACACCAAACTATGCAGCGGAATAACATCCTTGCAAGATGTCCTCAATATACAAGCTGACCTCAATGCACTGTTTAATTGTGCAACTATGTAGAAATGAGGTTTAATGTTGATCAATGTAGTTATGCATTTGGGGGCTAAACTAGGGGGTACAACTGGGGGAATCAATGGTGGAGAAGGATCTGGCAGTTCTAGTAGATCATAAGCTTAATAATGGCATGCAATGCCAAGCTGCGGTTTCCAAAGTGAGCAAAATCCTCTCTTGTATTAAAAGAGGTATAGTTTCCAGAGAGAGAGATATCATATTACCCCTGTACAAATCATTAGTAAGACCTCATCTGGAATATGCAGATCGGTGTTGGGCACCAATTCACAAAAGGTATATCGGGGAACTGGAGAATGTGGAGGGAAGGGCAACCAAACTGATACAAGGCATGGAGGAGATCAGCTATGAGGAAAGATTAGAGGAACTGAATTTATTCTCTCTTGGGAAGAGGTGATTAAGGGGGGATATGATCAACATGTTTAAATACATAGGTGGTCTATATAGGGAACGTGGTGTAGAGTTATTCACTTTAAGGTGATCACAGAGGACAAGGGGACACTCTTTACATCTGGAGGAAGAGAGATTTAATCTCCAAAAAGGGTTTATCACAGAAAGAGCAGTGAAAATGTGGAATAGACTCCCTCAAGGGCCGGTTCTCGTCAGCTCAGTAGATTGCTTTAAAAAAGGCCTGGATTCTTTCCTAGATGAATATAATATAGAATGTAAAAAAATGAGACAACGATAAATAATTTCAGAACTTTTTACACGTTTAATGTAACTTATAAACTGTACAACTCAGTTGAACAACAAACTGAAAATAAGTGTGCTCACCCTTAAACTAATTCTTTGTTGAAGCACCTTTTGATTTGATTCCAGCACTCAGTCGTTTTGGGTATGAGTGTGTCAGCATGGCACATCTTGACTTAGCAATATTTGCCCACTCTTCCTTGCAAAAATACTCCAAATCTGACAGATTGCGAGGGCATCTACTGTGCACAGCCCTCCTCAGATCACCCCACAGATTTTCTATAGGATTCAGGTCTGGGCTCTAGCTGGGCCATTCCAAAACTTTAATCATCTTCTGGTGAAGCCATTCCTTTGTTGATTTAGATGTATGCTTTGGGTCGTTGTCATGCTGAAATATGAAGTTCTTCTTCATGTTCAGAGTTCTAGCAGAAACCTGGAGGATTTGTGCCAATATAGACTGGTATTTGAAACTGTTCATAATTCCCTCTATCTTGACTAAGGCCCCAGTTCCAGCTGACGAAAAACAGCGCCAAAGCATGATGCTGCCACCACCATGCTTCACTGTGGGTGTGATGTTCTTTTGGTGTTCTGCAGTGTTGTTTTTGTGCCAAACATATCTTTTGGAATTATGGACAAAAAGTTCAACCTTGATTTCATCAGGCCATAACACATTTTCCCACATGCTTTTTGGAGACTTCAGATGTGTTTTTGCAAAATTTACCCGAGCTTGGATGTTTTTCTTCACAAGAAAAGGCTTCCATCTTGCCACTACCCCATAGCCCTGACATATGAAGAATACGGGAGATTGTTGTCACATGTACCACACAGCTAGTACTTTCCAGATATTCCTGCAGCTCCTTTAATGTTGCTGTAGGCCTTTGGCAGCCTCTCAGACCAATTTTCTTCTTGTCTTTTCATCAATTTTGGAGGGATGTCAAGTTCTTGGTAATGTCACTGTTGCGCCATATTTTCTTCACTTGATGACTGTCTTCACTGTGTTCCATGCTATAGCTAATGCCTTGGAAATTCTTTTGTACCCTTCTCCTGACTGATACCTTTTAACAATGAGATCCCTCTGATGCTTTGGAAGCTCTCTGCGGACCATTGCTTTTGCTGTAGGATGCGACTAAGAAAATGTCAGGAAAGACCTACTAGAACAGCTAAACTTTATTTGGGGTTAATCAGAGTCACTTTAAATGATGGCAGGTGTGTACTGACTCCTATTTAACATGATTTTGAATGTGATTGCTTAATTCTGAACACAGCTACACCCCCAGTTGAGCTACATCCCCAGAGGGTGTGCACACTTATGCAGCCACATTAATTTAGTTTTTTTTTTTATGTTTACTCCCCCCTCTAAAAGATTTCAGTTTGTTTTTCAATTGAGTTGTACAGTTTATAGGTCACATTAAAGGTGGAAAAAGTTCTGAAATGATTTATCTTTGTCTCATTTTTTTACATCACAGAAACCTGACATTTTAACAGGGGTGTGTATATTTTTTTTTATCCACTGTAACTAGATACTAACATTTATTAGGTAAAGTTGATCCAGGGCATATCCAATTGCCTCTTGTGGGATCAGGAATTATTTTTTTTCCCCTGCTTGAGCAAATTAGATCATGCTTTGCTTGGTTTTTTTGCCTTCCTCTGGGTCAACTGTCGGTATAGGATTGTAGAAATTTGTTTCCCCTTTTTATTGGTTGAACTAGATTTGTGTCTTTTTTTTCAACCAGACTAACTATGTAACTAAGTGAAATGTGTTTGTCTGAAGTCTTATGAACCCTCTGTAACTAATGGCTGCCTTTCTCTTTATAAACCAGCAGGGACATTCCATGTCCAGAGAAAAGTTTTCATGATGATTAATCAACATTGGGAGAATGCACTGGATGGCTACAATGTGTTGCAGCACCCCTGCCCTGGACTGGTTAAATTTAGCACACTGTGGCTGAGCTGTTGCCAGCTGAGCTGAAATCTACTGTATTTTTCGCTCCATAAGATGCACTTTTTTTTCCCCCCAAAAAAGGGGGAAAATGTCAGTTCGTCTTATGGAGCGGCCGGTCCGGTATTTCCGCCACTGTTACCATGTCAGAAAACAGGGCCGGCCGCTCAGCTCTTCTCTGCAGTAGGACCTTACCTGTTCCTCGGTCCAGCGCTGTACAGTCTTCCCGCGCTGACATCAGTGACAGCCGGGTGCCCACTGCGCATGCATGAGAAGCGCTGCGCTTTGTGAATGGTCAGGCGTCTTCTGGGACACGAGAGGGTGGCAGTGACAGCCGGGTGCCCACACTAAAGGGAGGGCAACTCTGCGTAAGTGGGAGCAGGTACCTGTCAAATTCAGGTACCAGCTCCCCTCCCTCCCCACAGGTACGCAGTCTCTTCATCATCTCCTGTACTGTCTGCAGTCTCTTGGTCATCTGTACTGTGTCCGCAGTCTCTGGTCATCCCCTGTACTGTCTTCAGTCTCTTGATCATCCCCTGTACTGTCTTCAGTCTCTTGATCATCCCCTGTACTGTCTTCAGTCTCTTTATCATCCCCTGTATTGTCTGCAGTCTCTTGGTCATCTGTACTGTGCCCCCAGTCTCTGGTCATCTCCTGTACTATGTCTGCAGTCTCTGGTCATCCCCTGTAGTATGTCCGCAGTCTCTGGTCATCCCCTGTACTATGTCCGCAGTCTCTGGTCATCCCCTGTACTATGTCCGCAGTCTCTGGTCATCCCCTGTACTATGTCTGCAGTCTCTGATCATATCCTGTACTATGTCCGCAGTCTCTGGTCATCTCCTGTACTGTGTCCGCAGTCTCTGGTCATCTCCTGTATTATGTCCGCAGTCTATGGTCAGTCTATGGTTCTGGTCATTCTGCACTGTGTCTGCAGTCTCTGGTCATGTCCTGTACTATGTCTGCAGTCTCTGGTCATGTCCTGTACTATGTCTGCAGTCTCTGGTCATCTCCTGTACTATGTCTGCAGTCTCTGGTCATCTCCTGTACTATGTCTGCAGTCTCTGGTCATCTCCTGTACTGTGTCTGCCTGAGACCACCGCATCAGCTTTGCGTGAATGTATGCTTCCCTTGTGCTATCTGACTGCTTATGAACTGCCTCTTGGATTACAAATTGCTGTAGAGACTTTAACTTAGCCCACCGGGGCTGGATTACAAGTATTTTGGACTCTCTCTCCCTGCACTACTCCCCATTGAGTGACTGTTGTATGTTTTAATAAAGCTTTAAGTGTTTGCCATCTGCCTTGAGTGTTCTGTCTCGCTTACCCTCCGTCACACTGGTTGGCAGCAGTGGGATCAGGACACTGAGGAGATGGCAGACAATGAAAGCCAGCGGATGGGGAACATGCCCGGTCCAGCGAATACAAGAACTGGACTGTGGCATATCTGCAGGAGAGGGCAAAGCAGCTGTCCCTTACCTGGAGTGTCCTAGCTAAAGATGATCTGGTCACAGCCATTGAGGAGGCTGACCCCCAAGACACCCTAACAAGGGAGGAGAGCAGACCAACCCCAGCCTCCCCAGCACGTCATGACCCAGGGTCCAAAAGTCCCTGGTTTACCCGGGTGGAGGAAGAGCTGGCCCTCCTGGGGACAGATGCTACAGTAGAGGACAAGCGAGAGGCCATCTGGAGGGAGAGAGAGAGAGAGAAAGAGAGCCATGGGAGCCGCCGGGACTTAAGCTGTCCTTCCAACCCCAGGGCCGCAGGCTGCCCCCCTCCCTGGGTCAGCCGCAAAGACTTTAAACCCTTCAACGAAGCCACTGGGGATGTGGAGGGATTTTTTCAGGACTTTGAGCAGCAGTGCCAGCTCATGGCTACGACACCTCGTGGGGCTGCTAGAATGGGGGTGCGGCCGCAGCCTACCACACTCTGGATTACCAAGACAGCTGAGATTACGCCCTGGTCAAAAAGACTGTGTTAGAGTACTATGCAGTGACCCAGAAGTGCACCGGGCGCGCTTCCGTGACCTTCCCTGCCATGCTGAGCAGTCCTACAAAATGTACGCTCACAAGATGTCACAGGCCTGTCGTCGCTGGCTAGAGGGCGAACAGGCCCCCTCAGTGGAGTGTATTATCCAAACTTTCCTGAAGGAACAATTTTATGACAAATGCCCCTCCTAGGTCAGGGAGTGGGTGAAGGAGTGAAGTCCAGCCACCCTAGAAAAGGCCGCTGCGCTAGCAGACGAAGTGCTCACAATTAAGCCCCACTGGAAAAACTGATGAGGAACCCGCTGGGACCCTGGGTGGTGCTTGTCTCCCGCAAAGCCATACCGTCCCCATGTCTACGGTCGCACCGCCCAGGGTCAAGATGGAACGCCGGTGCTATGCATGTGGAAAACCCGGGCATCTAAACGCTAGAGGCTCCAAGAACATACACCCCCCCCAAACACACACCCCTCGCCCTGACCACGATGTGCCACTGGTGCCAGGAGGGCGGAGCCTCTCTCCTTCCCCAAGTGAATGGATGCCTCCGACAGAAATCAACACCCCTCGAGGAGTCTACGGAGTTCGCCCACTTACCCCAAGCTACCCGGAGAAAAGGCAGCAGCACCTGCAGGGGGTCTCCATCGGCGGCAGAAAGGCTATGGGGTTCCGCGACGCAGGTACGCTCCCGACCCTTGGTGACCCCTGCATATTAGATCCCGCAGTGAGCAAAAGGACCCTGAGTTTTATATTGAGTCAGCGGGGGGTACCAGGAAACATATCCTGGGGGCTATGGTTCAGCTAGACTGCGGGTTTGGGGAAAAAAAACCTACCGGCCGACATTCTACTGCAAAATGATCTTGGGGACCACGGTTGCCAATTTTTGGAGTGGGGGCCCAGAACCACTATCTGGGGGGAATCAAAAGGCTAGAACAGAGTTGAAGCCAGACCCCCAGTTGTCGAGGGCTTATCCTGTTAGCTATGTACGGCCACATGTAACCCCTCTTGCAGGCCCAAGGGTTCGGGGATCCTCCCGTGGTCCTCCAAACAGGTGGAGGGGTACCAGAAGGACCCACCAGCCCCGATGTCACACTTGCAAACAGAGGGGACACCTGCAGCCCAATTGTCCCAGGGGGTGTAGGAAGAACCACATGGCTTCCCTTTGGTGGAGAGGGAATGTCAGTAGCCCCCACTATCCCCCCTGGCATTCCCATGTGCCCATAGGCCAGCAACCTCCAAACACCCACAGGCTGCCCTGCTGGGATGAATCGCAGTACGCACTGAACCCCGTGCCATAAACTGTCCCTAGTGTGCGCACAGACCACCTGTTGAATCCCCGTGAGCCTGGTGTTGCCCCTAGTATGCTGTGTGGGAGCTGTGTTGAGGGCAGCCTCCACAGCCAGAGTCCCGTTGAATCCCCGTAAGCCTGACGTTGCCCCTAGTATGCTGTGTGGGAGCTGTGTTGAGGGCAGCCTCCACAGCCAGAGTCCCGTTGGATCCCTGTGAGCCTGATGTTGCCCCTAGTATGCTGTGTGGGAGCCTTGTTGAGGGCAGCCTTCACAGCCAGAGTCCCATTGAATCCCCATGAGCCTGATGTTGCCCCTAGTATGCTGTGTGGGAGCTGTGTTGAGGGCAGCCTCCACAGCCAGAGCCCCATCAAGCCCCGTAAGCCCGCTTACCGTGGGTGTCCCTACAGGCCGCATGTCGCGGAGTGCCATGGATTGTCTTGGTTGAGTGTCTTTCATGGTTCAGTGAAGCTTTGTGTGTTCTTCATCTTCTTTGTGCGTTCTCTCCTGCCTACGCTTCCGTCACACTGACTGGTGGCAGCAGCAGCAGTGGAGGACCAGAATGTGGAAGAAGACGATGGAGAAGCGATATCACCCCGGTAGCTTCCGGTTTAGTGTCAGACGTCAGATGAGTCGGTAGTGACGAAACGCATCAGGGATGTGACATCTGACACTAAACCGGAAGGAGTGGCGTGACCATTTTGTTTACTGGATTTTCTGTTTTGTGAACTGTTTGGACAGATGGACGGATTTTCCAAGTTTTAATGTAAGATTTTATTAAAAATCTACTGGTTATCTTTATACTCCACTGATGGTATCTTCTTTGCCTTCATGAGGAATTGGGGAAATGGTCAAAGGCATACCCGCAGGGTGGAAGCTGACATGTTAACATACCCTGAAATGCTGGTTGATGCAGAGAGAGGGTAATTGCCTTGAATCTCACTAGTGTGTGGCATCACTGATTGTTCACCTCACCTGTGATGCGGAATTGAAGTTGATATTTAAACACTATTCACATCTTGATTTGCTTGTTGTGATCTTGAGAGGGTAATAGCATTGAATCCCACTAGTATGAAGTGTCACGGAGTGTTCACTTTTATTTGTTGTGTTGATACTCACTTTTTGATGTGCTTTAACTAGTTGCCGACCGCAGATAGCCGAAATGACGGCTTCACTGCGGCCGGCCAGTTCTGGGTGGACGTCGTATGACGAGGATCGGCACCGATCATCAGGGCACTGATGATCAGTGCCCTGATGATCGGTGCCCAGCAGTGCCACCCACAAGTTCTGCCCACCTGTGCCCAGCAGTGCGCCCACTAGCTCCGCCCACCTGTGCCCAGCAGTGCACCCACCTGTGCACAGCAGTGCACCCACCTGTGCCACTCTGCAGTGTCACACACCTGTGCCCAGAAGTGCCACCTACCTGTGCCCAGCAGTGCCACCCACCTGTGCCCACCCACCTGTGCCCACCAGTGCCACCCACCTGTGCCCACCAGTGCCACCCACCTGTGCCCACCCACCAGTGCTGCCCACCAGTGCCACCCACCAGTGCAGCCCAGCAGTGCTGCCAGTCAGTGCCACCAGTCAGTGCCCAGCGGTTGTGCCAGTCAGTGCCGCCAGTCAGTGCCCAGCAGTAATGCCAGTCAGTGCCATCTATCAGTACCCATCATCAGTGTCACCTATCAGTGCCGCCTATCAGTGCTGTATATTAGTGCCGCCTATCCGTGACACTTCATTAGTGCTGCCTATCAGTGCCGCCTATCTGTGCCACCTCATTAGTACTGCCTATCAGTGCCCTTTAGTGCTGCCTATCAGTGCCAGTCAGTGCCGCCAGTCAGTGCCCAGCAGTAATGCCAGTCAGTGCCATCTATCAGTACCCATCATCAGTGTCACCTATCAGTGCCGCCTATCAGTGCTGCATATTAGTGCCGCCTATCCGTGACACCTCATTAGTGCTGTCTATCAGTGCCGCCTATCCGTGCCACCTCATTAGTACTGCCTATCAGTGCCCTTTAGTGCTGCCTATCAGTGCCCATCAGTGCCGCCTATCAGTGCCCATCAGTGCTGCCTCATCAACGCACATCAGTGAAGGAGAAAAATTACCTGTTTGAAAAATTTTATAATAGAAACAAATTTTTTGCACTTTTTTAATTTATAGCGCAAAAAGTAAAGCGCCCAGTGGCGATTAAATACCACCAAAAGAAAGCTCTATTTGTGAGAAAAAAATGATCAAAATTTCATATGGGTACAATGTTGCATGACCGCGCAATTGTCAATCAAAGTGCGGCAGCGCTGAAAGCTGAAAATTGGCCTGGTAAGGAAGGGGGTATAAGTGCCTGGTAGGCAAGTGGTTAATTCACAGAGTGCTGTGTGGATTTATTATTTATTTGAGCATTTATGTTTCAATGTGAATAATATCTGTTATTATTTATAGATATATATTGATTTCAATAAAATATATTTTTTTCTTTTTTCTCATGATAGTTGAGTGCACACGGGATTATTGATTGATTTTTTTGCATGAAACACGTGTCACTAATGGAAATAGTGTGAAATATATGAAGGTAATACACTATATTCAGTTTTATTTTTTTGAGGTATTCTGGATCTGGATTGGAGATTTGAACTGGACACTTTATTGAACGTGTGAAGATTTATTTTACATTGGACAATTTTATACATTTTTTGTGGATATTTTGTTGGGATTGGAGGTATTTGAGAAAAGGTTTATGGTGATGTGTGGCTTAAACTTCTAACGCTGGGCATAAAATCCCCCACCCCCCAAAACGACCCCTTTTTGGAAAGTAGACACCCCAAACTATTTGCTGAGAGGCATGTTGAGTTTAGTAGAAGAATTTTTTTTTACCACAAGTTTTTGGAAAATGACAAAAAAATATATATTTTGTTTTACACAAATTTGTCACTTAAATGATTTATTGCTCATACATGCCATGGGTATTGCTCACCAAAATACATTCTACTACTTCTCCTGAATATGGGGATATCACATGTGAGAGACTTTTTGGCAGGCTAGCCAAGTACAGAACCCCAAAATCCAATAAGCACCTTTAGGCTTTTAAAGGGCTTTATTTCCTCATTACATTTCCCGACTACCTATCACAGTTTTGGAGGCCCTCGTTTGTTGCCACAAGCTTCTGGAAAATGAACATCTGCAAAATACTCACCATGCCTCTTTTTAAATTCCTTGGGGTGTCTACTTTCCCAAAAGGGGTCGTTTGGGGGGGGGGGGTTGGTGCTATTCTGGCATTCCAGGGCCTCCAAAACTGTGATAGGTAGTGCGGAAGTGAAATGAGGAAGGCTTTCAAAGTGATCATTGGATTTCAGGCTCCTGTATGTGGGGAGGCAACTTTGTGTAAAAAAAAAATGTTTTTGTAATTTTCCAAAAACTTGTGGAAAAAAAAAATCTTCCATGGACTCAATATACCTCTCAGCAGATAGCTTAGGGTGTCTACTTTCCGAAAAGGGGTAATTTGGAGAAGTTTGTGCTGTCCTGGTATTTTAGCACCTCAAGAATTGTGATGGGCAGTCAGAAAGTAAAAGCTGTATAAATTCCATTATCTACGTATACTATAGTTTGTAGATGCTATAAATTTCACACAAAGCAATCAATATACACTTATTGGGATTTTTTTACCAAAAACATGTAGCAGAATACATTTTGGCCTAAATTTATGACTAACTTTGAGTTTACTATATATTTTTTATAGCCGAAAGTAAAAAATATTTGGTCTTTTTTTGTTTATAGCGCGAAAAATAAAAAGCGCACAGGTGATCAAATATAACCAAAAGAAAGCTCTATTTATGTGAAAAAAAAAGGACGTAAATTTTGTTTGGGTACAGGATTCGCATGACCGTGCAATTATCAGTTGAAATCAGGGGCGGACTGACCATTTGGAAACTCGGGCACTGCCCAAGGGCCCGGGGTCAGTAGGGGGCCCCATGAGATGCCCCTGGTACCTTTTTCATAGACTTTTTTGAGTTTGGGCAAGGACACAGGGGCCCCATGATCCCCTATTGCCCGGGGGCCCCATGAGTTGTCAGTCCGCCCCTGGTTGAAATAATGCAGCACCGAATAGCAAAAAGAGGCCTGGTCAAGGATGGTGTAAATCCTCAGAAGGGCAAGTGGTTAAAAAAAACTCACCCTGAATAGACCCACTTTGACTCTGTTTACACCTCAGTCTTTGGGTCACTGCTAGATTTCTTGACTGATGCAGCACTCCTTTCTCTCTCCCCTTCTCTTTTCTCTCTTTCTGTTTTTTATGTTCTGGTTTTCTTTTTTTAAATCACAGGATACCTTGTATTCAAACTGATAGGATTCACTCATCAAGTCGAATTGAGTTTTCATTTGATCCTTATAAGTCTGCACACTCCCACTGTCAAGATGAGAACATCTATTCTGCATTGATAATACCTGAAATAAATGAGGAGGGTGGGTTTTTTTTGCCCCCCCCCCCCCCCCATTTATAATAAAATTATGTACTATCTTGTCGGTCCCTATAATTAGTTAGTATATCTAAGCTCTGCCAATATTGATGGACGTAATATATTACAATATTAGCTATAATAATAAACACAAAGCTCAAAGAACAAGATCTTATTTCTTTACAAAGGAAGTAAAACACTAACAGAGAAACCTAAACAAATATTACAGGGCACATAGAAATAAAAGAGCAAAGATGATACGTTACATAAGTTCGTGAGTATCCTTTGGTTGAGCCCTGGGTAGAAAGAGGGAAAGAAGAGAGAGCAAGCATGGCCAGAATTGTATTTAAAAGCACTCTCAGACATCACCAACACAAATACCTTTGACGCACCTGGTGTAGTTTTCCGTCAATGAACGACAGTCCATAACGCATAAGGGGCTGTCCTCCCAACTCATTAGGAAGTATAGTATTATCCCAGCCATCCTCCTAGAAGTATGTCATTGTCTCCACCAGGGGGCACTGCTATATTGCCAAAAATGCTATGACCCAGGTCAACATTCCAGTCCACATCCGGTTTCTTCCTCCTAGCTAGAAGCCATGTAATCTGTAATTTTAATCTTCATGTCACCAGGGAACCTGGGCTTAGGCTCTCTTATCTCCATGCCTCACCGCTAGGGAGTATGTGTGAATTCCCAGGACCAGGTATTTGGTATGCAGCCTTTTTTTACACACGCTCTGTTGTAATTTCTTGCTTTACTGACACTCCAAGATGACATCTAACAAACCATATGCGTCTTTGATAACCAGGCAGTAAGAATTCATAAACGTCTAATATAAAAACATGTTGCCAGAGGCCCATCTCGGTGTATCTTTCTGGATGTTCATGTACTTTATCTAATCCTGTTATTGTTTTATATTTTGCACCTATGTGTGCCTGGATTGTAAACTGGGAACAATGTATGCCATGCTTGTTTTCTTCTTTCTAAAACATTAAATAAAAAATGTTAATGATAACCAAAAAAATCTGTGCAGCTTTGTAAAATGTTCATCAATTTTATTGTTTTACTTGTAGGCCTCCTCAGAAGTCTGGCTAAAAAACTCCTAGTTAGCAGTACAGCTCTTGACTCTTCGGCCCCATGTACATGGGACACTTCTGAACGATGGAAACTGACTGCTGGAAAACGTAGGTTAAAAAAACGGCTGTTTAGCCACATTTGCATAACGCGTTTTTAAAGATAAGCACAGGAGAACCTCCTAAATGCCCAGAATGCACTGAAAAGTGGTGAATTATTAACTATTTAAGACTGTTTCAGAGAAATACAGAGAGTAGAAGCAGAGACAACAGTATGTGTTGAGATTAGCTTAGGTGTGAGTTGCTCATTAACATTTCTTTTGTTTCCAAGGGTGGGAAAGGTATCTGGTGGAGTGAGTCATTAAGGCCACCTGGCAGGGGGTCATTTGAGGGAATTTGAGGTGTGAATGGTCATTAACATATCTTTTGTTTCCAAGGGTGGGAGAGGTCTGATGTGTGAATTGATCATTACAATATGTGACAAGGTTGGTAGGAACATCCTGTTTTCAATGTTTTGACCATCTGAGTACCTTGAAAACACTTTGCATGCATTTTTCATGATGAAAAAAGGCTCTGGACAGCATCAGGAACTGGAAGAGTTAAAAAAAAAAATTTTCAGACGCAAACGCTTATAAAACATGATTTGCCGCATTTAGCCACGTTTACAAGTGTTTTGCGTTTGAAACACTGATAAAATCGACTGCTGAACGCAAGTTTTCTGCATAAAAAAAAAAAACGTCTGTAAACTCAAATGCCTGTAAACGACTGAAAACGATGATGTGTACATGGACACATATGAAAACATTAGGTTGAGTTCAGGGGCTGCTGAAAAAAACGCTGAACTGCTCCTAAACATGAGTTTATCAGCTATAGTGTACATGAGCCCTTCAAATGAGACTGAACAGCAGCATGCCTCTCCTAATCCTTTTTCTTTTCTCCTACACTTCCTGCACATCCAACATATTTCAGTAGCCCCACTCAGTTTTTAGTTCAGGGATTGTCCCCAAGAGATTACACTTCTCATGAACACTCAGGCTCCCCTTCTCCTGGGCTGTGTGGCAGCCAATTGCTGTGTCGTCTCTTCCAGCTGCCCCAGTGTCATTGATGAGTGGGGCTCTCCTCTGGCAGCTCTGAGTGCAGTGTTCTTCTACCTCTCTCCCCGCACAGCCCTATTGGGAAAAGCAGCACAGTGGCATGGTCAACTATCAGTGCTCAAACCAAGCGTCTGTCCCACAGGCAGGCACTTCTGGCCAGGCTACACAGGTTAGCAACATAAGAGCACATCTTGGAGATGGGGTCAACATGTTGTCATCCCCAAATAGGAAGTGCCTGAACAAAAACAATAATGTCAAGATCATAATGTATTATTCTAATAAAAACTTCAGATTTAAAAAGATTAAAAATGGATTTTGAAATGACATTGATTGGGTTTGCTATATAGTTTTACTATACATGTCCAAAGTTAGGAGCTCTGTTAAATTTGGGAAGCACACCTTACAGAGGGGCCTTGGTATTGCAGTGTAGCTTTGTATATATAGCAGTTGCAAATGCAAATGTGTGCACCAATAATCTCTTGGTTTTAGCTCAAATTGCT